CAGGCTGGGTGGGTCAATTTCCTGGACTATGGAGGCAAGGAAGGCCAGTTTTAACCTTGTAAAATTATTGTATAGCTGGGGATTTTTGCTGTATCCCTAACAAAGTCAAGTGTTGACTCTTATGATTGATACGTTGTACATAGAGGAGTTATGTTCTGAGAGTTGAAAAACAAAACCAAAGTTATTAAAGCAACCAATCAGAAGAAAACTTTACATTATCATTAACCAAAGAGAACTCAAAGTGAAAACAAGCAAACTGCTTCAAAAGCAGGAAAAATGGGAATGAGCAAGTTGCAGTTGCTATTAGTTTTGCATCCGCTAGGTTGAGAGGATAGCTAAAGTTTTCTGGGCCAATCAACCATTAGAGTTATTATTTTTGTTATTGTAAATTGGTCTAGATAAGATCATTTGATGTTATTTGAAAATTTAATTACTTAAATGATTTTTTTTTTTACTAGTTTTTGTTCGGTTAACCGATACATGCTATTATATTTTCCAGTTCACTTCGCAGCTAGATAATTGTGTAATAGCGGAGCTTCCCTTGCACGGCGCGCTGCTCCCTCCAAAATGATGGTAACATAATTGTAACCCATCAAGCAGAGACGATTTTATAGTCAAGACATAATTTTGTAATGTTATTTTGTACAATACGTTTGTTTATTAGACTTAAAATCTGTATCTGGTCTGTATTATAAACCTTTCCATTCTAATGCTGTAGTAGAAGCTATTATATGTGAGTATGTTTTACTGCCGCGGCTATTTTCACGAAAGAATTAAAACTAAATTAGAACTAAAGGTTGAGCCAAGACTGTAAAGTTATGACTTTCTTCTAATTCGTTAGCCCATTCCTGTAGTTGCTTGCTGCGACACGATTAATCTGTTCATAGCAAAAGAGCGAACCCAAAAATTCTTAGTCAAATGAACCAATCATCTAGTGTGGGAGTAAGGTCCCTAAAATAAATAGCTGTGGACGCTATTTGATCTAACGTCTAAGCTTTTTTTTTTTATATATTTTTCACCTGTTATTATAACTATACATTGATCAGTATATTTCTTGATCACTAAAAGTAAAGATTCCTTTAATTACTTTACAAGTTGTAGCTTTCAC